AAAAAGAACGAGCCCCAGAGTGTACACAAATACAAAGACAAAACCATCGATGCGCGGAAAAGCAGCTGTAATTAGCTCCCTCGCGCGATGACATTACCTGTTCCGCCCGCGCACGTTGTACCTCTGTAAGTATAATGTATACACAATGCCGAAAGGGCTGGAAACGCCCTGCAGCAGCGAGAAAGCGACAACTCAGTCAGCACACCGGCAAGTGGCTCGATCGGCACCCCCGATTCCACAAAAGGTACGACTCAACGCCACGCGCCTCTATTTTTTTTTTCTTTTTTTATATCATCAATCTCGTTCTTATAGCACTCTTTTTTTTTACTCGAAACAGGCTCTCTTGGTGCTTCTTCATTGGGACACCGGAGCGAGGAGCAAACGATATTTTTTTACTCTCCACGGGGGAGGTTGAGGTGTGTGCAGCCATATCCTTTTTTCCTCTTCACCCACAGATACGTGTATACGTACACACACACACACACACACACACACACACACACACTGGCTCATTCTTTTTGTCGTTGCTGTTTTGTCTCGCTGGGAGATATTGTATACAAAAGCTGGACGATGACAATGACGACTTGCACATGTACATATAGGTATATTTATACACACGTAAATATACGAACAGAGACACGGGGGGTCGATGTGTTGGGGACGAGGGTGTAAAGAGAAAAGGGTACTGGCAGTGGTGAATGACACACGCGCATGATACGTGCGTGTGTGCGTGTGTACATGTTTTTCGCGGTGGATGAATTTCCGAGGGTGTCAATTAGTCGATCCTGCGTGTATCGGCTGGGCTTTTATCACCCACTCGGATACATATATATATATATATGTTTTACCAAAGGTTAAAATAATGATGATTTGAATAAACTCACGCTCGGTATGTTGTCGTTGGAGCAGACGCCCTCCTGCAGCAAGCGATCCCGAATTTCCCAGGCGAAAATCGAGGGGCACTCCTGCTTGTACAAGGATATTTTGTTGACCACCTCGGCCGTCGCGACCCGGGGCTTGCTACCGCCGATCGCTCTTGGCCTTATCGAGCCCGTCTCATAGTACCTGCAACAATAGACACAAATTTTCATTAAACATCCTTTTTTTTTTCTTCTTCTTTCTTCTACATTAAAAAAAAAGATATAAAAGATCGGTATATAAGTATATCGGCAAGTACCGCGTGTCTTGTTATTTTTTCCCTCGAATGAAAATTCAGTATGAACAAACAAAAATGTCACACTTTGCAAACGAAGGTTTTTTCACGACCGAAAAATAGAGAGATCGGGGACGAGCCGAGGGGTTTCCACGTAACGCGTGTGAAACGTATAAATTATACGGCCGATTATTATTCCGTCGAACGCGACAGCCCCGTGAAAGAACATAATATACCCGAGAAACCCTCCCGAAAGAAGAAGAGAAGAAGAAGAAGAAGAAGAAGAAGAGTCTCTGGCACGCATGTAGTGTATAGACTCGAGTGGCCGACCAAGAAGTTACGACTTTTCGAAGCGTGAATGGGGGAGACGGACGTTCGGTGAATCGAGGGTAGGTATGTGTTTTCTTTTTCTCACGCGCTCGCGCGACACGACACGTATATATACTTATATATGTATGGTGTGAAGAACGATGCACAGCGTGGCGGACCAACCTGCCGAGGATCTTGGAGACGCAGCCGTTGCTGACCTGGAGGATGCGTGAGATGTCGCAGGGCCGGGCGCCCGAGTGGGCCAGTTCGACGATTTTTTGGCGGGTCGAGTCGGGCAGGGGCCTACCACCGACAAAGACGCCGCCGAGCTGGTTGACCCCGCTGTGACCTGTAATCATGTCGTAATCTGCCCTCAGAACATTTCAAACAGACTGCTCGCTACTATCATTGTCGTGGGCTTTGTTATTTCGTTATATTCCATGTATATATTTATATGCATTGGGAAGAAAAGGTATTATTTTACAAAATGATAGAGTCAAAGTGAAAAGACGGGTGACGCCGGTGAAAGGATAAATGTTTACTAAACAGGCATAATCGAGCGACAAGATAGGCATGTATATGTGACCGTATCAGCTCGAGTACTTTTTTCTTCCCTTTCTTCCAGTATCTCTGTCTCTGCAGGGAACTACTCCTCCGTAGAATCGGGCCAATAAATCACAAATATACATTTTTCTCTGGCCTCTTCCTTTTCCCCTATAATATACACTCCATCCAAAAGAGAGAGAGCACGTACGCAAGTATAAAAAAAAGGACACGAAACGGCGCGGTAGAAGGGGAGGGGGGTGGGTTTTCAAGGGGTTCGACTTTTCTTTTCTCGAGAGAGGTGGCGGAGGAGGATATTCCACCATAGATAAGCTCCGTCTCATTGTGCAAGTGACAAGTCCCGCGAAAGCGAGAATCAACCTTTTCTTCCACCGCCCTCTTGGTATCCATACCCTTTGTCCAAAGACACGTTAAAAAGAAAAGGCTGTAGACTATTTTATACTCGGGTGTGGAAAAGAATTTTTGGACCATCGTTGGCTTTCTTCTTCTTCTTCTTCTTCTTCTTTTTTTTTTTAAATTAATACACAAAAACAAAAGAAAATTAAAGAAAAGCAGTTGATATAATATAAACAAAAATTAAAAAAAATAAAACTCTCACTCTTTCGTCAGAGGTAGATGGTACGACGCTCGAGTGAAAAAAAAAAAAAAAAAAAAAAGAAAGATCAAGTTTAAGGTTGTATCGAAAGATAAGCTTAAAAGTCAATTACTCCGGCAAGTATAAAATCTCGCGGAGTTTGCACACTTCGAAACCATTACTCGAGAAGGAGCAGAGCTGGGGTTGGGGGGGGGGGTAGGGACGAAAGAATCTCAGCTTTGCCTTCTCATGCCTCTTCTGGCTCTCGAGTGTACGTGTATACACATATATACCGTGGGGTGGCGCGTGTGGATGTATGGGTACGCAGATGGGCTGGGGGGAGGGGAAAGGAGCGTGCGATATAAGGGAAAGACAGACGGGTGGCGTATAAGATGAGTTTAGAGCTCGCGACCCTCCCTCGCGCGCGAAGGAAACTTTTATAAGAGGTGCCGAAGGGGGAAAAGAAGAAGAAGGAAGGGACCCCTTAACCAGCGTTTATTGGACGCATGCAAATATCCATGGCAACGCCGTTTCTTTTTTGCTTTGCTCAGCTTTGCTCTCGTCCTTTTCCGTAGGCGTGTGTGGGAGAAAGAAAAAAGAATTTTCCAGAGACACTAGATAGAGAGATTTTCGAAAATGTTCACCGATAAAGTCACGCTTATGAGTTTCAAAAAAAAAGAAAACTTCTTTCATTACCTCAACAAAAGCAGATTGGAAAAAAAGACTTCGTTGTAAGGGATTACGCTAACCGGATCATGTCTGACTGCCGTGTGTAAACTGCGGCACGGGTTAATCATGCGCGAGACAGCAATTTAACCCGAATCCTCTCACAATACAAAAAGAAAAAAAAAAAAAAAAAGAAAAAGAA